AAAAAAAAAAAAAAAAAACGAATTCTCGGGGAATGGGGTCTCCAGAAATTAGGGCACTGTTTAATGTCCCTATACCAAGGTTCTTGTACATTGGGGTCTGTATTGCAGGCCCTCTGTTTTGGAAACGCCCATCTGATATACAAACTGCCCTGAAGCTTGAGACACTTACCAAATCGTACCAATAAATTACCTACCCTTTCCGGCTTGGTGACCATCCCGCTGTCAGTGTTCGTAGTGGAGCCGGATGATAACTTCAGGCCAGGTTTAGGTGTTGAGTCTAGGGGGATCGCAATACTTGGACCCATGTTTCGAAACATTCCTCCACAAAGGACAGAAGGTTCCCTAAGCACCTGCTCACAAATAGCCTGATATCCCATGACTTCTCGTCATCCTGATGTTTTTAGAGAGATGAGGGCTGGCTCTGGGCTGAAAGTGCGTGATCAGGAATCTGCATCCAGAACGTCGAACAAATCGAACTTGTTTGACACATCCACATCTGCACTCTCCAGGACATGAAGGAAGGCAGGCTCCTGAAGCCAGAGCCTCGCCAGGGCAAGCCAGAGAGTCCATGCTCGGCCACAAGCATGCAGGACCCAGGAAGCTCTGCAACTGTCACCCTACAACACCAACGGGCGTATCTTTTTCAGCACTCCTGTAGCTACTGCCTTCTGAGCATGCCAGAGGACCGATGAAGCACCAACTCTGGAGGCTATGGAGAACGCACGCGTCGTTTGGTGTACACATTCCATAGCCTATCTGATAGCCGGCATAAGACATGACCACACAAGGGCTGTAAATCAAGGCGGACGATGGCAGCGGCCGAGGCGCATGAAGGTCTTGCGATCCACTGTGACACCAGAGTGCTTCAGCAGCTCGTACCTTTGCTGGGATGTAGGCAGCAGGTCTGGGCGGCGAAGCTTAGGAGTTACAGTCTCCTTTCAAGTTTTTCTCCGGTACTGCATGAGATCCACAGCCGCAAGACAGCAAATATGGCATGAAATGCACTGGCCGCGCAGGTGCTGGGAAAGAGGCTATGTTTCTTAGACTGTGGCCACTGCCAATGTTACTATCCCAGTCTGGAACAAGTGTCTCCCTACGTAATCCTATACTGTAGTAGACTGTAGATCTCTTTAAGGGACCTTGGGTAACTTCAGCATGTAATCCGCATAAACTTTTAAGCAACCTGGGTAGTTCTACCAGGTCACTGCGTATGCCAGAAGAGCTGAGTCGACGGTTGCCCGGTGGTCCGTTTCCTGGCAGTCAGGTTGTAATGCTTTTGAAAAATGGGCCAAGCAGAATTTTGTGTTATTCAGGACCTAGAATTTCAGGTTTAGGACTTAGTGTTTGGGATCAGGATTTAGGATTTCTTGTTTATATACATATACACAGTACTCAGGAGCGCCAATCACCTCTGATCGGAGGATCGTATCATCTATGTTCCAATTTCTTACAATGTCACCGAGTCAGAGCCTTGAGCGACCGTGTGTGGCTAAAAATATCCCGACCATGATTCTGGTCACAATCTGCTTGCATCATAGAGGTGTCGAAAAGGACACAGTGGGGAAAAGTGAGAACGGAACGTGTTGGTAGCTCGGCCTGGATGCGACACTTTCCACCGATTATCTCCGCGAATCAGCCAAAGAGCTGAACGAGAAGCCCTGGATGGAATTGCCCCTCTCACTAGGAACTTGTAAGTCTTATCCGAGATGCTCGCAATCAAAACGCGCCAGATGCAACTACTGCTTGTCTGGCTGGCCTGCTTGTGCCGCACTCCAACCGCGCACCAGAACACACTCAGGCTGCACTAGTTGCGGTGACCATCGGCAAGCTCAGGAAGTGCTGAATATGATGGAAGAGCAGCAATTACGACGAGTGTATTGAGGAGCATCGTTTGTTAAAAGCAATGAACAGAGATGAATGCAAGCGTTGAGGCCTTCAAGTCCATAGGGCCACAAAACTGGACCCGGCTTAGTAGTGGAGCAAAATAAATGGAACTATACAAGGGAAGGGGAAATATGGCAAACTGGCCGGCTTCCCCATTGACTCCAGCAACTCTATAACCCGAGGTCAACCACTTCATAAGCTACCCTCAAACTAAAGACTGGTCATGGTTCATCATACAAATACAGTACCGTATTGAGCGATGGTTCTCCGCTTAAACTCTGAGCTGAAAGTGTGGAACTTGAGGCCTTAAATCCCAAAGGCTACATCCTAAACCCTGACTCTTAAGCCTAAAGCCCTGGACTGTTACCCCCCCAACCCCAAAGCCTCAACCATGACATTCCAGTCCGAAGCCATTACAACGTCAACCGTAACACTGGTGTCCCTTGACCTCTGTGCCTCTGCCCCAAATTTGCAGCCCTAAACTCACCCTGTACGTGATCAATGCCTTAAAGCCTGACACCTGAGCCCTGACTTCTCAATCCTAGGCGCTTAAAGCCTCAATTAAAAAACTCTCGGGCAATGTGACCCTTGAAGCCTCAAAGCTTGCACCCTAGACCCCTATAAACCCATAACCCACAACACCATACGCATCTGGATTTTGCATATGTGATATATATATATATACATATTTATGTGTACTCATCCCTAGACCCTCTTTCAAGAGACCTAAGGGCCCCACAAGCCTGTCGGCTTCCTCCTGCGCCGGTCGCAAGTCGAACAGCCCGCTGATCCTGTCAAGGTCCCACTCCCTGGAGGTTTCCAAATTTAGGGGCTGGAGTTTAAGGTGTAAGGCTCGGAGTTTAAGATTGAACTTAGGATATCGGATTTCGGTCTAGAATTCAGGGTCAGAGTTCAAGGTTTCTAGTGCAGGGCTTGAGGCGTAAGGCTCAGAGTTTCGAGGAGGTTTCCAGGACTTGAAAGGACCCGTGTTGCTGTCTCAGACATGCTCCACCTTTGGAACACGCAACATGGATCTTTGGGGTTCCAGGTTTGTGTGCGCAGGCTAGGGGTAGTGATATGATGGTAGTACTCCATATGCTGCTTTTGCACCAAACTCAGCTTCAAGCTTGCAAAGCCGCACAGTAGCAACCATGATGGCTCAAATCAGGACTCGTGTAATCCTTTCCCCCTAATAAGAAAGGTCTCCCTCCCTCCTTAACTAAGCACCCACCCGGATTACTTATTCTTAGGGGCTTTCATTGCAAAGAACTATATTATATGATTTCAATAATTATAACTTTAATTCTTGAAATCATATAAAGGTGATTGAAATCACTTGGAATCTAATTACAATCTAGTTAGGTTGACACCGAGTTAAAACTAATTAAATGAATCTATCCCAAGTAGTATTAATGTCGCTTAACCATTTTTTCAACAAGTACTTTTTACCACCGACTTGAAATAGATTCTGACTCTAATTAACATCCAGTAAAATTCAAGCCAAAATATAATGAAATCCCTGAAGATCGATTCAGAATTTAATGTGAAACCACATGAAAATAAATCAACATCTCATTAAAATCTCATTGAAACCTAGTTCAACACGACTTAAACACATAATAGTACCAATGAAAGTCTTACGTAAACTCTATGAAGCCAGTTAATCATCCCTAGGTCTTCTGGATTTCTCATTTCAACCGCCCACCGACCTCAGAACCCTCATTCAATATTACCGGTAGTCTTTTGGGAATTTCTGGAATTGGGGACTCTCTGGGAGGAGCATTTATTATTAGGGAGGATTTGTTTTGAGCGGGAACGGATTAAGACAGAGAAGAAGGATGAAGATGGTGGCGTTGACGCTGATAACGACGACGAGGGCGAGGATGAACATGAACTTTAAACCCTAGGATTCCTTGCAAGGAATGCTTTACAGCTCTCTTGAACCTGTAAGTCCCCAAGAATAACTGCACGAAGCTCATGCCCAATGTAACCCAATATAACCTACACCTTACAAAGTCTTGCATGATCTCAGTTTCCATTTCCTTTCCCATGTTCTTTGCTGTGTGATTCTCTGGATAATATCGTATCCTTAAGAGTAATAGCTGAGGGTAGCTGCACTACCCACATATGTAAGCTCTCTGCCCTAGGACGCAGCAGGACGCAGCACAGGCCACCTTGCAGCCATACTCCGCCGACGCCCTTCACATGGCAGATTTTATGATGATGTCAGACATGGGCATGTGCCACTTCTTGGGCTTCGTGTCAGAAGGTTCCCATCAATGCAGGAGGTGTGTGTGGAGAAATCGGAACATACCTACTTCCAAGAGTCACACGACTTTGTCTGTCAACTTCGTCGCAGTTGGGGGCTGATGCTGCTTTGGAAAAAGATGAGATTCCACAAGTTAGAGGAAACACTGTGCTCAACTCGGTGCAGAGTAATTGCAGGACATAGCTGGATTTTAGATCCATGCTGCTTGCTACACCTCGCACCTGTAGCGCGCTCCAGAGATGTTGGGTCAACCATCTGCACCTCGGGATCCGAAACAAAACGATTCACAGGACAACTCTTTTGTCCTGCACCCCGGTTCCTCCTGGGCGGGCACATGAGATGATCCTAAAGAAGTATCAACAGTCGGCACGCTTGTTTGGGGCAACTGCGCTGCAAGTGTCGGTAGGCAATGAGGCAAGTGCATGGGGGCGTGGACTTTCGAGGAGTTTGACGTCAAGCAAACTCATGCAATTCAGCTTGCTAGCGCTAGACTGACGGATGGAAAGCACAAAGCTCTGAACCTTCGCGAGCCAAGCAACAATCACGCGGCGGAGCGCCTTTTCTGTGCTATCCGCTCTCTCTCCCAACTCTCCTTGGTGGCATGGGCACTCTTTTGGTTGAGTTTTAACGCCCAGGAAGATACAGATTTGGAACACAAGGCTCATGTGAGTGTGGTAACCATAAGATTCATAAGATGTAAGCTTGGATTGGAACTCAAGTCGAGGCCCAGCTCTAGGTACCTGAATCACCCAATGCAATGCATGCCGCAAGCCTAAAAGGCACCCGTAAAGAAGCTCCTATCAGGGTTTCTAATTGAGGCCTTCGCTGACATGGTGAGGAACTGCCTTTCCAAAGGTTTATAGCCTTGGCAGCTTGGGGTCCAGGAAGACAGGCCTGGGATGTTGAACTGGCGGTTCTTGTGATGAGGCTCGGGAAGTCCCAAGGCTGATGTATCCACTGATTCCCGGATTCATTACTTAAATGGAGTCAGGCCGAACCCTAATCAAAAGCCCCAGTTGAACTTCGGAACCTGTCCGTGGAGATGTGGGAGGGGGCGCTTGTGATCATCAGACTAGTGCCTGTGGAGAGAGAAGTTGCATCAAACACATGATGGGGCCGAAAGACTTCGCAGAAGTTCTCTTGGACACTACAAGAACCGCATAATAACCCTGCTTGAACTCTTTTTCGTCTTGGTGTCCGCGGTAAATCAAACGTGCACTTGCAAACCTCTCTGGCATACCTTTGAGAATTCCTCACCCTAAGGTGGACGCAGGAAATCGCGCACCGGTTACGATCTCCAATATACCGCAATTCTTAACTAGGGTGGAATGTATATATAAGTAGTTTCTATGAACAGGGGGACCCCAATAGAGACACAGAAATAATCCAATCTGTATTCTGGGTCCAACAAGGCACCGACTTGTCAGAAGCCCTAGCCCAACATGCTAAGTAACCCCTATACAATCCCTTCAATCATCATAGAACCCATAAAGATAGTACCAGACATCCTCCATCCACAATAGCTTCCCGGAAACCTTTCCCAGTGACACCCCCCCAAAAAGATAAGCAAACAACTTTGAGAACCTTACCCGCAAAACAGTACTAAAGAAGACATACAAATCAACAACCCAATGGCTATAGGATACTGCCCCGATTATAACTTGGATTCGTCATCTACCTAAGGTTTGATGGCGAAGATCGCTGTTTCCGGCGGCCGGCAGATGCTGTAGCATTCCTGGACTCTTCATCTGTGATGGGTCAGGAATGGAGAAGTACATGGGCTTCTTTGTTTCAGGTGTTAGGCGGGAATGCCTACTTACCCTAAGTACTGGGCTACTCTAATCCCAGAGCAAATGGCGAAGGGAACGTGTTACATGATCGTGGGCTACTGGCTTCAGAGGTAAGGCTCAAGTCAGTCCCTGGCTCCCACCCCTGGACCCATTTCCAACTTGGGTTTAGGGTTCAGGGATTTTGCGGCAATGTAATCTTCTGCAAGTTATGCCTTATCGAGTACCTCAGCCGGCTCCGATGGGTCTGATGATTAGGCCTTGATTTCGGGAACTACTGTAGAGGCCGACGGCCTAAATAATTACATCCCTGGCATGGGTATCTTGTCCCATAAGGAATGATAGTGGGCTTATTCTTCCGTGGATATTGTGACGACAGCTTGGCATGTACCAGGTAGTCCTGAAGCCTCTCTGAACCAAGATGTTCAGGAGAGGCTCTCAAGGAATATGGCCATGATCATGTTGAAGATGCCCACGGCAACCAGCATGGTGACACAGACCTGGAACCGCGGTCAAGCAGATACTAGTGCTTGCGTTGGAGGCCGTGCTCTGCCCCGCATGAAGTGTATGGCCCTGCCTCCTATATGTACATATAACTACATTGCTACCTTGATGCCTTCTGCCTCGTCGCACCAAAGCTACCTAGGCATTCCTCCAAGTGGCATAGCCCACAGTGAAGGGAGCCCCGTAGACAATCCGCAAGCGCTCTGCCAAGGGCGCCCCCTCGTAGTCGGAGCAGCCGTCTGTGAAGCAACGGAAGAGAGTGAACCTCAACACTGTGGCTACGGCATCTGTCTACCTTCGGCCAAGCCAGGAGGCAACAAACCTTCTCTCGTAACCAGGCGGTCAGTTCTGGGAGCATGAAACGTTTCATAAGAAGAGACACAATCTAATGGCTCTTGAGCCGTTTGGATTGTTGTCAGAGATGGCGTTCTACTTGGTTCCTGGGCATTTGCGACGATGCTTGGGACAAGGAAGCAATACAATTTTCTGTCTAAGCCCAAGCGGAGGACATCGAGTTCGGGATGGTCTTAAACTCGTCCATGGAATCGCCGACGAGATTGCGCATCACAACGCCAAAGACGTAGATGACAGCGAACCTGGCAATTGGCAATTGCAGAATAATCTGAATGATCGTCTTCAGCTCATGCTCAGCTTCCAGCAAACAGCTTTATACTCAGAGTGTGTTGTGATCCTCTGTGCTGGAGCTGAATGAATAAACCAAATATGGATGCACGGCCACAGCGGTGTCATGACTGTCTGTGTCCACCTGCAAGGTGGTTCTGCAGCAGAACTTGACGGTATATGCTCCAGGATCACCATATTCAGGCATAGAAGGCGATTATTCATCGTGTATAGAAGTATGCAGCGATAGCCCCTTAAACCCGAAAGAACAGCAAGAAGACCCACTCTGTGAAGGTGGCTTACTTTCCCAAGGCAAGCGGCAGGAGGACTACCGCCCAGAAGAGGACGCCGCAGCCGTTCATGATGCCCATAGTGATCTGGCGCAGCTCGCTGAACATCTTGAAATTCAGCACGCGGACGGTTCTCAGCAGCCTCAATGGGCTGTTGCAATCTACTGTGGCAGAAAATTACTCTGTGCGCTGGCTCCAAACTCCGCATGCACATGCTTTTGTAGGGGTTCATCCCTCAGAAGCCAAGCCACTGTCCAAGCCGGAAAACGCGCACCACCGTCACATCCTCCAGCAAACCGGAAGAGGTAAAGCCCAACACAGCAACCAGCACCGCGCTGAGCTCTAAGAGGGCGCACCTGCTGCAAAGAATGCCTGTGAGGAACATGCCGGGTCCAAGGCCAGCGATATCTTACTGTACGCGTCAGAGCTATCACGAAGATAAAATGGCTGATCTGAGGCGAGGTTACGTGTCAGTGAGTGGAGGGTGTGCTCATCCTGCCAAGGCACAGAAGGCACAGGAAGTCAAACCAGTTCCAAGTCCAGTTCTCAGCCCAAAAATACCCTCGGCAGCCAAGGCGTCGCAGCTTGATCAAGAACTCCTGCCAGGGCATGCCAGGGCAATGACTGTTGCTAGACATCTTATAAGCGCTTTGGCCTCTGTCCGCCCTGCCATGTTTTATATGCGCTCTTGCTGCGAAGCATGTTTCTTTAGTTGAAACAATTGGTCCAGGAGGTAGAAAGCTGCAAAGCAGGACTCTACCGAACGAAGCAGTGGCTCGTTGGTGATGACGTCACTGTCCAGGGCAATCGTAATGGCGTTCCTTGGGAAGGAGGCCACGTACCTCTCTAAGTCCTCCTATAACGCCCTATGTAAGCCCGGCTTCGATTTCAATTGCCATTTGATTCTCCGTTGCTGGGGCCATGTTTCTTTTTTGCAGCTGGGCTCTCTGAGATACTTGCCAGCACAACCAGTGCGCGCACACATCAGTACTGCTGACTGAGCATCCATACAGTGGACAGCTCAGAAGAGCACACAATTCCCTCGCTCACTACAACATAGAAACATCATGCGAGCTGAGGTCCTTCAAGGGAAACAAAGACACATTAGCTGTATTCTCGGATATAAGCAGCTAAATGCAACTGACCCATCACAGCATGGACAAGTGGGAGATGCACCCAATCATATCAAGAACCCTAAGCCCATCCTAAACTTCTAGCGGCAATCTGCTGGTGATCAACCTTAGAAGCTCCAAAAACCTCACTGGCTGCCATGTATCTTTTCTGAAGCTGCCGCCTAGTCTCAATATGATGACAATGGGGGGCCCGAACTCCAGAAGTATGTCGACGAAGCTGGCGGCGGGTCCCTGCTGGAAGCAGTATTTTTACAGTGTAAGTCTAAACTTGGTCTTCCAAATCACAATCTGCAAAGCAACAGGGCAGTTTGAATGAGCTTGGCCTAGGGAAAGAGCACAACCTTGGTTCGGGTTGACTGCATTCCATAATGCAGGAACATAACTTCACGCCGCCGAGTAGCCCCACAGAAGAGGATTGAACATTCTAGCTGCGCATCTCTGACCCTCCCATTATGGCGTGAAGCCCTGCCCGTCCTCCAGTGGTGTTACAAAGCTCGGAAAGGAAGTGTCTTTCAAACACCGGACCCCGGTCCAATACTGCCCTCAAGGGCTTCCCTTGCAAGTGAGACAGTTTGTCCTTGCCGGTACATGTCGTGCGCAAGAAATTTCATGAGCGTCGTAAACGCACGGTTCGCTGTGAAAGTGCGCCTCGTTTCGTGCTCTATGCTTCTCTCTTGGGATGCGCAAAGCCTAGAGGACTGTGCAGATGATGAAGTTCCCATAGCTCCCACAAGCAAATACCTTCAGCCCTGACTGCGGAGCTCCATCCTGAAGCCTCCCTTAGCTGCAAGTCCCGTTTCAAGACTATACACCAAAGGATGCCCCAATCCAATACGGCAGATCTGATGGTCCCTCCTGCACATCTCCCAAAGTCGCACTCTAGTTCATGCGTCAATCAAAAGGATCACTGCTCATCCGACCATAAAAAGGCTGTGAAACGAAACTCATCCCCCCTATACCACCCGACAAGGTTCCCCCTTTTTCGCTCTTAATTACCTGTAGGTATCTCTAAGCAACCTGCATTAACTCCCCAACGCGAATCGCTTATGGCCGCCACAGGCTTCACCTTGAAATCTTGTGGGATGACATGGTGTCAGGGCTACATGTCACCTACGTAGCTACTAGCCTAATACTAGCTGATCCCTCCCTGTCTCCAACTGTCCCTCAACCCTACACGAAATGAACCAAACCGAGACCTTTATTTCCTAAACCCCTAAGCCTGAACCCCCCTAAGCCCCTATGTAAACTCCCCCACCAGACCCCTCAATCCTGAACCACTAGCCCCTAAACCCGATCCCTATTAGACCCTTGGATCCCCTTTAAAGGCACCAGGAACTGAAGCTCAGGTACCCTGACAGGGATGGATATAGTAAGCAATACGGCTACCACGGTTTCCCAACTTAATTCAAAGTTCTTAATATCGACCCAACGAACGACCACTCCTGGGTCCCACTGTTCCGTTTTGGTTCGGCGGGGAGCGCTGAAGGTGGCGAGCGGAGCAGGATTGGGGCGCGCCGAACCTGGGCTACTTAGGAGGATGAAGTGGGGATCTCTAGCGGTATATACGGATATAACAAGGGATACATAGGGGTATGGCATGACATGAGGTGTAGAGATTCCCTTTGAAGGGCTTTGGGTTATAGGGATATTCAGGGTTTAGCATTGAGGTTTATGAGGTGGTATCTGTGAATTCTATCAGGCTTACTGTGTTGCATATTGCTGCAGGAACTTGGAGAATGAAGCTAATGCACAAAAGGCACGATTTCAAACGGGCTGTCTTAACATAGTGGTGCCCTGGGCGACCCTAGAAATGCATGGGGTTTCCAGGCGATGAATTATGTCCCGATTCGGGACTATGCGGGGAGACACTTTGGGAAACTCCTTTCCAAATAGTGACGGTTCCCATACTTGTAGGCATGATAAAAGTAGCCACGACCATCACCACAGCTTTTAAGTACATGATAGAAATCATGCTCATGCTCACAGGGCTGAGAAAACTGTAAGGCACCCAACCCCTCGACACTAGACCATAAGTCTAAGCGTTTGGTTGCCACAGCCCCAAGGCCCCAAGGCTGCAGGACTGCTGGGGTGCAGGCTTCCCGGTTGACGGGTTTAAAGCAGGCTTTGGGTTTTTCCAAAGGCTTCGCATGTTGACGAAAAACTTACACGTTGTCCTAGGACATGAAATTCCTGGCGAAGACCATGGAAACAACTACGTGGCTCGGGATTACATAGGCGTTCCCTATGGGTTGTGGGGAAGGGGTTGGGACAGGAGGCGCGTGGTTGCGTACAAGCTTCTACAACAGAAAAGCCTAGCGTGTCAGATAAGCAATCGCATTTTAGACTTGCTCATGCACCAGGTGATTGCATGATGAATGTATCCCAACCGCAATGACAACCAACCGATTGGCATCAACAAGTACGCCGAAGATATGGTAGGGCCACTGCATCAACCCTGTACACCAACTTTCAGGGTGAGGCTGGGGAAGGTGCTACAGGCGAACAGCGAAGCCATAACAAAACAGTTTTTTTAAATAGCACTCCTGCAAGGAACCGCCCGTTCTGACTCAAAAGAAGAAGTCATAACAAACACCTGTTTCCGCATGTAACCGCTGGCACACGCAAGCTACCGGAAGTCCTGGAAACATAGGCTTGCGAGGCTTTTTGATAACGGAAGTCATACCAAACGGTTTTGTTACCCTGGAACCGCTTCTCTAGAAGCCTGCCTTCGGAGTGGCATGTGTAAAAGGAAAATGAGCAAACACTGCTCCACCCGGCCCTCAACCCTAAAAGTGGCAACTCATGCGATTAAAGATGCCCTACAGATTTTCCTATAGCATCCCGATGCCCAATGGCAGAAGAGAAGAGATCTCAACCATAACAAAACTGGGAGGAGACCGTGGGTTGCTACGACTGTGCGCACTTGCACTTTCCCAGTCAAGCTAGCACACAATGCAGTGGTTCCCTGTAAGGCCACCACCGCTTGTGAGGTCTTCAGCGCCTAGAGGCAGGGCTGAACGTAAGGGTTTAAGGGGTTGCAGGGGCTGCATACATAGGGGATAAAAAGGGCTTGTATAGGGCATGATAGGGTTTGCGATTTCGAGAACATCATGGGTCCCTGAGAAATCTTATGCTTGGGGGCACGTAATGATGTGCACTGCAAGTACCACGGATATGTGGAACAACTCCGTTTGGAGCGTTGCACCATCTGCCCCGCCCTAACCATGCCAAATTGACACAGTAGACCTCATGAACCGCACAGGGTTCCAAGCTACGAACTTAGGACATCAACATCCAAATGCCTGTGAAAGCTGTTGGCCCCTGATGACACGCTGGAGAGTTGCTGGTTTGGTCTACATAGCTCAGACCATCCACCCGGCCGTCCGAAGTTAAGCCCGCCTTTGTGTGCAGCACTGGGCGGTTCTGCACCTCGTGAAAGTCATCGGGCAAGTCCTCGCTATTGTTGGTGCTCTCCGCTTCCACACCGCTTTCAGAGCCTCAGCGTTCTCTTGAAGGAAGACAAACTAAGTTGATGCCAACGGGTAGCGTCCCTTCTTGAATTCCATGAACGTGGCAAAACCCGTAATCAAAAGGATTGTCGTAACTCAGACTACCCTCTCCACATCTAGGCACTTATTCGCGTCAAACTGGCAAGCAACGATCGACCCACTTGAAAAGTCACCTGGAGGGCCTTGGCCTGACTCCTAGATTGAGCATCTTGTTTTGTGAGCAATCTCCTAGAACAAGAACTAGCCCCTCAACTGGCATGGAGCCGCATGAATGCCCCCTTGAAAGGGATGTAGCCTTTAGGTAGCTTCTTTCAGTGTTTGGAACGGTCAAGACTTGTGGCATCCTAGAGAGAACGGGTCCTGCCAAGGCCCCGTCACGAAACGTCAGCCTCTCTGCATCACGCCGGCAATTCGACAAATAAGTTTAGGGTTCATAGGGTTCCTGCCTACAAGAGCGCGAAGTAAGCATCATTTTGTTTCGCTGCAGGTCCATACAATTACTGCAGTCCTTGAACGGACTTGCTGAACTGCGAGTGGGTACTAGCGTCAAGAGGCTCCCCAAAACGGTTGCGAACATTTGGTTTAAGTGACGAGAGCACATGGAAGGCTCACAAAACCACAGCAACATAGAATGCCTGAGAGATCCTGAGAGCAACCCCAAAGCACCTATATAATCCCCATATATCTGAGACCTGAGGTTGCTCCAATTTTACCCCCCAGAGAATTGCCAGTTTTCTTGTCTT